GAACCCGGCCAACTGGAGTCGGACAAGGATCGCATTCTGCTCATCCAGGAGAAGGAGAAGCTGCTCAACGACCTGAACAGCATTTCGGTCAAGTCGCGCAGCGAGGAGGAGAAGCGAGTGATCCAGCAGACGCGCCACAAGCTGGAGGAGGACCTCAAGGAGGCCTATGAAGCGAACAACACGTGTGTGGCCAATCGGCTGCGCTTCCACGAGGAGAAGCAGCTGCTGCTGGACAAACTGCAGGAGGCCCTCAAGTCCACTAAGCTGCTCGAGGAGCGACTCAAGTCCTTCTCCTCGGAGAGCACCTTCTCCATCAGCAGTGGCAGCAGTCTGGGCTCCCTGTCCACGGCCAGCAGCAAGAGTGCCCTGAGTTTCACCGACATTTACATCGATCCCTTTGCCGTGGACTCACCCATTGACGTGGTCGATCTGAGGCGTCGCTCGCAGAGATTGTTCCAACAGCATCAGCAGCAGCGCCTGCATCCCGTCCATCCTGTCCATCCTGTCCTGCAGCAACAGCAGCAGCAGCAATCCTCGGAGGTCACGCTATCGCCTAGAAGCAGCCTGTCCATGGAAACGCCGCCTGCCTCGCCGATGAAGTATAATCCGGGAGCGGATCAGGCGCCACAGGTCCTCAAGGAGGAGCCCACCTATGCCAATGCTCTGCCCGCCCCTCCCGCCTACGCAGCCCCGCCCCCAGTTCCGGTTTCCGGGGTGAGAGCACGTCCCTACGACCTGGACTCCACTGTGCTCGACTGCATGATGCTAGAGGCCAAGCTGCAAAAGCTGAACATGGGCACCCCGCTCAACCTGGCCGCTGCTCCTCTCTCCCCCATTTCGGAGAAGCCCTCGCTGCTGGATCTGCCGCAGGAGATGCTCAGCCGATCCTCCTCCACCTCCAATACTCGATCTGTTTCGGCGGCGGTCAGCAATGAATCAGTGGCCGGCGACTCGGGCGTCTTTGAGGCATCGCGTGCTCATCTACCGCGTAAAGAACTGGCACAGGTTCAGATTGGTTTGAAGTATCTGAAGCAGGAAGGAGTACTCGTCGTGTCCCTGGAGCGGGCCAATAATCTACTGGCCCTTTGGACTGCTTCGGCAGACAACTCGCAAGTGTAAGTGTACTAATGTTATGGTTACCTAAGATTTGCATACTCATACATGATTACTTAACAGGTATCTACGTGCTGCGTTGCTGCCGAATTCGCTGACCTCCATCAGGACCAAAGCACTGGGCGATTTCCAGAAGCCTGTCTTCAATGACACATTCGCCGTGCCCATCACGCTGGACAAACTGCTCAGCAAGAGCCTGCAGGTGACCGTGGTCACCATGACTGGCCAAAAGGAGGAGATTATTGTAAGTATCCTTAGCTTACTTTTTATTTGAACATAAGTAACGTTATTTCTGCATATTCCAGGGCACTGTGCAGATCAGCATGGCCGAGTTTAACCCAGAGGATTCCACATTGAAGTGGTACAACGTGCTAAGCTCTAAGTTCATTCCCAGCTTTGAATCCCTGGACATTCCTTCCACCAGTGCCGCCGCAGCAGCAGCTGCCGTTGCTGCCAGCAATGCCCCAGCAAGTGGCAACAATCGGGAGGAATCTTCGGATGAGTCCACCATTACCTCCTCCCAGACATCCACACTGACCAGAAACCAGGCACCTTGCATGGAGCTTCAGGAGCAAATAGCCGCTGAATTGCTGGAACTGGGACCACTGAATGAGCCAGAGTGCAGCGACGATGATGATGATGAAGAAGAGGAGGAGTTGGATGACAAGCAGCTCATCAGCGATGTTGGCCTAATGAACTGTAAGTTCAAAAGAATTATAATGTTTCCAATATTTTATTAAATACCTCTTTTATTTTAATCAACAGCAAGCGGCATGCTGGATGCCTACCTGCAAAACATGAAGCAGGAGTTCGCCGACAAGGAGACCAACACTGAGCGCGCCTTCCTACCCGAGAAATCTCGTGGGCAATCGCAGCTGTTGGACGACAGGCCGGTGAAGCGATCCCAGACCTTCACGCCATCAGCGGCAGTTAGCAAGAATCGCTACAACTGCCGACTCAATCGCAGCGACTCAGACTCCGCGATGCACTGCGGCCTGGCGCCCCACACTTTCCAACGAGGTGCCGCCGAGCGACGATCCCTGCGCTTCCACACCAAGGCGCCCAAGTCAGTCACAAGTAAGTGCAGGATATATTACTCTGTAATAATATTGGCAATTAAAAATGGGTTCTAAACCCAGAGAAGCATGGAACTTAAGATTATAAAACCTACTTTTAAATATTTCAAATTCCTAATTGTTGTAATTTATTTTTTCAGAACTGCATCATACTCACATACCCCGCACCAGTTTGGACTTGGAGCTGGATCTGCAGGCCCAGCACAGCAAGCTCTATTTCCTCAATGATCAAATTGCCAAGCTGCAGAACCTCAAAGAAGTGTAAGTTAAATTTATACCCAACATTAAAGTATCATTTATTAATTGCTTGCTTATCCAACAGTTTGCAGAAGGCCTGCGAGAACAAGGATCCCTTGGTGGCCGCCTGGGCCATTGAGAACGAGGAGTTCCAGCGCCTGGTGGCTCGTGCCGATCCTGCCAAATGTCCAGAGGAGCGCCAACTGCAGAAGCTGTTGATGAAGACCGCCAAAGAGATCCACAAGCTGCGCAAAACCAAGGTGCCCAAGGGCTGCCCCGACCTGGTGTCTTTCAAGTAAGTCGAATTTGAAGATAACTCTTAAAAAAGCGGTATTAAATGTTGATGTTTACAGGGAGAAGATCACCTTCTTCACACGCAAGGGACTGTCGGTGCCCGAGTTGCCCAGTGAATTTACCTTGCCGGAAGCCAATCCCATCGAAGAGGAAGAGGAGGAGGAGGAAGAGGACGAGGATGAGTTCTACAATTCAGCTGAGACGGCGATCGCCATCAATACGGCGCTGGTGGCCAGCAGCAACCGAAACAAGAATCTCAGTGAGCACCACCATAGAGCCGCCAGTGGGGCAGTGCCCAAGGTACCAGCACCTGCTCCCGCTCCTGCTGACAATCCTGTAGCTACTCCTGCTGCCAATCCTGTAGCTACTCCTGTAGTTACTCCCGTGGCCACTACTGTAGCTACTCCTGCTGCCACCCCTGTAGCTACTCCTGCTGCCAATCCTGAGGCTAAGCCAGTCGCATCCAACGATGCCGAGCAACAGCGCTTCGACTACGTGGTGGACCGCAACTACGGCGTTGAGGTGTAGCCCCTACCACCACAACCCCCCATCTTCGCTGTACATTTTTGTAATTAATGTAGTATTTATTTTCACTAAGCAAAAAGTATTTATGTGTATAAACAACTGATGTAACAAATATCTGTGCCTTATAGAGAACGTGAACGTGAACGTGAGAGAACGACAAGAACCATGCTAGAAATTATATATCTACGCATAGCTATGCACTAGACCTAAGCCCTATACTGTAATTAGATTAGCCAAGAAGCCGCCTAGCCCTAACTAAACCCATAGTCAGTTGTACAAATTGACCCCCACTGATGACCATATAAGAGCAACTAAGAGATACAAACCACCAAACCGCCCCCAAACAATTTGCCCCGACCCAAAACAAAAATTAAAACAATAACGCGCACATTGTGCGTTCAATGCCTTCAAATTCATATTGAAACCAACTGTATTCTTAAGACTTGAGCAAAATTATACGAATGTTTATGAATATTTTTATACGCATCTAGGAATAGTTATACCGCTTTGATTACCCCAAGCCACATATACACAAAACGTGAGGAGAACGTGAAATATTTATTATATTGATGGATCGATCGATGTAGCGCTCGAATCCAATCGGTTAGGTTAGTTAGCTTGCGTTTTTGTTAAGCTCAAAACGAATTCTTATACTGTAATTTTTTTTATAAAAAAATCCTATGCAAAAAAATGAAACCACACAAAAAAAGTGAATGTACCATATTAGATAATCGTCACTATGTTAGCTTTAAGAGCGCCCTTAACCCCCCGACAATGCCACCATTGAAAAGCGCATAAAAAATGAGAAAAACTATGAAATGAAACCTTGTTATGCTTTCCCAAGCGAACCTGTTAAAACTGTTGACTTTGAAACTTTGCCGTGGCGCACTGAGTTCGTATGAAATGAAATGAAATTAAATTACCCACAGCTCTAGTTTAGTTTAGCCTTTGCACGTGCAGTTTTCCAGGCTCTGTGCAAGCGTCGCTGTTGTTTATGTTTTCACTAACCAGACCCACTCGAACCCAGCCCCCAAACCCCCGAACCCGCCCCAAAATCTAGCGAGTAGTACGAATAAACTGAATTAGAGCCCCGATACATATTTTTTCTATACCATAGTAATTTTAGTTGTAATAAATTATATGAAAGTGAACCTGTATATTGTAATTGTGCAATAAACAAACAAAAAAATACTGACATAACTGAAGTGATTGTGTTTTTATATTGCTGTGAAACTGGGAATATTTGGGGGAAGAAACAAAGGAAGCTAGATCTGTGGTAATTTAAAAGTGAAGTTCATTTATTTTTTTTATATTAAAAGCGAATATACAAAAAATTATTTGTATACAAATACAATAGCACATAACCGACTCTGAAAAGAGCCGTTCCGTTTCAAATACTTTCTTTTGACATTTACAAAAAATTATTTTTCTTGGTTAATTTGTTCAAAGAAAAAGCATATAAACGAAATGAAGTATTGAAATATAATTCTGAGAACAGTGCAATTTCTTTTTTTTACAAAATTTGGTTTAATATCTATCAGTATATCTGAGGCGCCAACATTTATAAAATATATTATATATTTTTCCACGGAAAAAAACAGAACCCATTAATTTACACTAAACTTTAACCAACTTTAATATAACAAAAAATGTACCACATATTAACTTTGTTCGATGAATTTCGATTCAAATAACGCGGCTAAATCTGTCCGATAACGATAATAAAAACGATTATCGCAGAAACAAACCAGGGCTGTCAATTAATCAAAGTGTCGATTAGTTTACAGCGTGGAGTGAATTGAATTTGTAAAATATCAATTAAATACAACGTTTATTGGTAAAATATAAACAAACCCAAAATGGAGGAGGTCCTTGAGACGATGCAGCTGCAGGACATGCAGTGCGACGTGTGCGGGGAGAAGACCTTCCAGGAGCGCGAAGGATTCTATTACTGCGTGGAGTGCGGCACGCAGAAGGATCAGATTCGGGCTGTGGACCTAACTGCGGAGGATAACTTCAATGACACCACCAAGTATGCCTCCAGGACCATCCGAAGGCCAAAGGAAGTGCCCAAGAACGTTGACAACGACCCCACCTCGTGGGAGTTCTACAACTACGTGCTGCGCGGCTTCCTCCAGGAGCTGCTTAACATGGGAGCCAAGCCGGAGCTCAAGCTGATGACCCTGCAGGTGTGGGCAGCCTACATGGGCCGCATGGAAGTCGCCTTCTGCCGGGGCAACGAGTCGGGAAAGCCCAAGCTCAATGTGCGGGCACTGCTGAGGTGGGTTAATGATTCTAGGGACCATCTCCCTAGGATTAATTCTACAACTCTGTCCCTAATCGACTCCTTTTCTTGCAGAGATGCCCGCCTTATCTACAAATACAAGCCGCCCAAAGTTAAAAAAGGCAAAAAGCAAAATCAATCGGGCGACCCAAACGACGAGCGCGCCAAGTTCAGATTGTGGAACAGGACCAAGGTACTTTAATGCTCAACTAATCGGCTTTATTAACCTAACCCGTGGCGGTTGGTATATAGAATGTGTTGGGGAACAGCAAGGGCAGCAGCAGGTAAAGAGTCCGTTGAAAGGCACTTAGAACTGGTTCCTCTGTGGTCTCCTCCACTGGCTCGGAATCTATAGTAAAAATGTTATGTAAAAGATCTCAAATGCAGGACCGTACTTACTCTCAGTGACTTCTGGAGCTCCTGGAGTAGGCTGTGCACAAACCATTGCCAGGAGGGCCAAGCAAATCAATACCAAACGCAGAGACATATTTGTAACCAGCTAAGCTGCTAAACTGCTATTCCCTTGGCCATGTGGGTCTTTTATATATCAACCAGCTATGTAAATGGCATAATTACCCAAGTCATTAGTGGACAGCAGTCCCCCAAACATTCTTATCTCTGAAGTGACTAACACCTTGCTCCCATTTGCTTTTTCCAGCGCAATCTTGACGCCTCGGGCTACAAGAAGCATGGAGGTCCTTTAGAGTCCGAGGCGGGACAAAGTCTGGGCCTTCAATGGTCCACGTATGCCCGCAGGACTCTGAAACGCCATATGCCCCTAAAACACCTAGATAAGCACAGTAGGGACAGCAAGGCCAGCATGTCGTGCCACACCCTAAAACCCAAGGCCAAGGAACTACACTTTTTTGACCGTAACGTATATTGCCTGAACGTTATGAAGTTATACGTTGTGCTGGGAATAGCCCTTAACATGGTGGAAGATGATATACAGCTAACGGACCTGCAGCGGTTCATTGATGAGGAGCACTTGTCCAAGCGGTACATGTTCAACTACCTGCCCGAAAATGTTGCCGCCAGGAAAAGGTCGCTGCTCGCGGATATGGCGCTCAGACGCCAGAAAGAAAAGTTCAACCACACGGTGCGTATTTATAAGCTCCTTACTTAAGGGCAGTACATTTCGTTTCACTTCATAACTCTGTATTTTTTAATCCAGTGCCTGCGCCAACATATCGGCATGGTGTCACGATTTATAGATATGTCTGACTACCAGAAACCGAATCTGCACTCCCTGGCGGAGCGCTATATCCTGGATTTGGGACTGCCTCCGCGCCTAGTCAAGTACGTAGGCGGCATCATCGACCTGTATCCGCCAAAATTCTTCAACGCCTTGGGTCCACACGTGTACCCGCCGTTTGAGGCTAGGACGATGGCCTATATCATTTACGCCATGAAGTTGCTCTTCGGTTTGGACGATATCAAGGAGCAAAAGATATCCGAATCGGCAGCAAAAATCAACGAACAACTGCTGGAAGTTGGCGGACCAGAAGCTCCCTTGCTGTTTGTTTTCACCGAGTGGATGGAGTTCGTGGAGATACGGAAAGTAATTATCTCACATTACAACCAGAGCTTTGCCCAACGCTTCGGGGTACCCACCCAAAATGGAAGGCATGTGGATGACATCTTGGCCAAAGAGCAAAAGGAAAAGGAACAGGGGGGCGGCTTTTATGAGATGGCGTGCATGCCGTCATTGAAGCGTCAGCACGAGAACCTGACCCACATCATCGAAACTATGCTGAAGGAGCACTTTGGAGAGTCCAGCCAAGAAAGTATGGAAAAAGATCACATTGAATTCCAGCCCAGCTTAACACCGGCTTTATCCTACTTCAAAAGAATCCTGCTCCAAGCCTCACGGTCTGATGGTGCGCATGTGAGCATAAGGATTCCAGACTGCATGCACGTGGATCACTCGCAGCGGAACCTGGATCCCTTTGTCCTAGAGACTAAAGAGCTCACCCGGTATTTGGCCCAGCACGGTCTAAGCCTGCGAGTGGAGGAGGTGGCCTGTCAGGAGGACTTTCAAAAAGTAGGCCTTTTCCGTCCATTGCAGCATCTGAGAGGTGAGAATAAGGAATTTCGCGCCAACTGTGATATTAAAACCGAGACGTGGCTCGGCGAACTAAGAAGAAAGGAGAAGCGGCCGGACCTCCAATTCTATCAGCCCACTGGAAAATATGGTGCCCGGTATCTTAAACGTATAAAACACGGTTTCGGAATGCGTGAACGGCTCGAGCACAGTAATCCTTTTTGGGAGATTACCGAGACGCCGAGTTTCTTGATCAAACTGAAAGACAAGGAAGTTCCACTAGACACTTTGAGCTCTCTGCAAACATTCGAGGAGGGGAGCATGGATCCGTTAAGCGTCCCTCTCGATCTGCCTCGACGCCATTTGGAGAAAAAGCTGAATTCCATAGAGCCAGAGAAGGAATCAGATGAAAGAACAGAAGATACAGGTGACGAGCCGCCCAACCCTGAGAAACTATTGCTGCAAGTATCCAACTTTGATTGCTGGCTTCTGCACGGCTATGTGAAGATGCTTCGGCAGTCGGACAAGCGTGTGCTGCGCCAGTTATTTCCCTGCTCCTTTCGCTGGCTGCTAGAGACCTGTGCCAACACCATTGGCGTGGATTGGGATATCCTCTATGAGCAACTTTTAGTTATAGAGATGATGTTTCACCACAGTATTGTAAACTGGAGTAACCACAAGGAAGTTTTATGTATTCAGCACAATACACAAGAGAAGGACATTAGAAATCTGGCCAGGATGTACAAAGATTGGTGGTAGTATAAGTATAATGTAGTTTCCAAAAGAATAAAACTTCTACTGCTTCAAATACAAAATATTTAGCATACATCTAGGGTAAATAATAACCACGTAATGATAACCATGCCCATTATCTCAATCGACCAGCATATTTTCTTTAAAGAGAAAAAGATACGTTTCTTGTTACTTAAAAAATATGTTTATTAAAGTCTATCGAGATTTGCTTCTAATAACATCTAATGTTTTAGCAAAGCTGGTTTTTAGTTTATTTAAGTACGAACTTATATAATCCACAGTATTTTGTGCAGCTTATACTCAGGTAGGTGCTATGTTCTTAGTATTCCATTATTCTTATTAGAATAAGTATTTCCTAGTCTTCAATTAATGATTTGGAGAGGTAAAATGTGCGAATCTAAGCAGCTCCAAAAAATAAATATGACACACCCACTATGTCAATAACTAGAGACGAGGAAATGATTTATTACGTACTCGCTAGCTGTATTGAATCACAACTTTTATTCTTTTTATAATTTATTGAATATTAATTGACGGCTGTTTAACGTCAATAGTAGTCGCTGATCAGCATCATTGAGTTAATCAATTTAGGTACTTACATATGTACACCTGTCTATTTCGAAACCATCTGTCTAAAAGCCTTCACATGATAGAGTACTTTGGAAGATAATTAACCAAGACTTGGTGAAATTACAGTGGAACCGATCGCTCCAGGTGAACAATGATATTTTAAAAGGAAACTATCAAGGGCATATATGTACTTCAGTTTTTCAGATACATCTACTCCACTGGCTTAAATACGAATGTATTATCAAAGATAATTGATTTATTATAGATCTTTAATATATATTTATGATATATTTAATGTAGAATATTTTATAAAATTGCATATCCCTTTTAAAAGAAGAAATAGGTATCTTATTGAAATTCTAACGATCTATTAGGAAACAATACTAACTTCTTGGCCGCGACTGTCTGAGCGAAGGCACATTAACATCAATATCAATAGGCAAATTAGCGTTTATCAGAACAACAACAATCACATTAACAGCAACAATGCGTGTCGCGGTTTTGTTTACAAAAATCTTCTTCAAAAGAGAGCGCCGGCCCCACGGTCATAAGCACCTCTCTCAGGAAAAAAATCAAGAGAGCAGTTGGGGAAATAGTGTAAGCCATTTGGCCAATTTTCCGACAGTTTTCTTTTAAAAATACAGAGATCCCTAAAACTTCGCAAATCGCTATGGAAAAGCTGGGAAATAGAAAAAAGTTGTGTTTCAAAACAATTTCAGTCACATTACTTTCTGTTATTTATGTTATGTTTAAATATGTTAGTTTTAATAAATAAAAATGAATTAATATACTTAAATCTAAAACTTTATAATTAATGTTACCTTCTACAAATATTTGGTTTTCTTCTTATTTTTACTAAAATTTTTTTTTTAATTTGATCAATGATTAAGTATACATACATACTTATATGGTCAAATTTGTTTTTCTATATAATATAACCTTTTATAAATTTAAATATACATATGTAGGTGTCTCAAAATTTGTTTTAATAACTTTTTTTCTTTTCCTGACTTTTTATAAGTACCCATCCTGGCTATGCCCACTATATAAAACCGAGATTTGTGTTAAGTAACATTTTGTGTTAAGTAATATTTTGAAGAACGTTTTCCAATATTATTTCTCAGTACTGTTTTAAAAATTTTTTTTTTCTTTTTAGGTGGTAGTTATTATCTAGCTATACTCGACCATAAAAAGTCGGCATCTCTGTTGGGGAGCTAGTCAGAGTGGGCAAAGAAATCATCGCTCGGCGCGTTTCAGTGCTAATTTTAACGTCGCCGCGTTGACTGTTTCGCCTTATTGCCTTATTGCGGTTTCCTTATTTTTCACTTTTCCACTTGCTGCGCGCACTGAATTCAATTTAAATTAGTTTACATTGTGCCTTTGTACGCCTTTTGCCCGTCCAGTGTGATAATAACAGAAAAAGCCGACCGAAGTGCCAAAGAAGTGCAGTGGAATCGGATGTGTGGACAGGAATTTTAACCGTTGCAACTGAAGTAGAAGAAACGATCTCGAAGCGATGAGAACGGAGAGCATTTCAAAATAAGAACGGAAAAAATCGGAATCAGAATTTAAAAATAGCCGAGTGCATGGCAAATTATGAGCTATCTAATAAAGACGGTCAAATAAAATAGTATTCTGTGATTTTTTCGAATTTCTGCTGGTTTTTGAGCAGACTTTTCTGCTGGTGAGTTGAAAGTAATGGTTCTTAGACCATTCCCATATTAATTTATGGTTCCTAAACCATTTCTTTATTGATATGCGCGCGTGTGGTTTCCATTCAAATGCTACGGATATGGCAAGACAGCTGTTTCAATACCGCCCAAAAAAATAATGCTGAAAATGCCAAGAGTTACGTCAACCTTTTGCGGGGGCTTGGGGGTTTAGATGACTGTCGTCTGCTACCATCTGATTCTGATTCCGAATCTGATTCTCCAGTTTCTCTGATCCCCCGATTCGAACCCCCAAGGAGGGGGCGGGGTGGCAAGTCTCAGTTGTTGACGTTCTTGGCGGTTTTTGAGGTTAACAACATTTTCAGCCCGCTTTGTTTCGCTCTGAGCCAAACAATAAACAACTATTGACTCGCACTGGCCATGTTTAGCGAGCCGACTTACAAACAATTAATAGCTACTATTTTGTCACTTGCTGACTTTTATGCCAAAATATTTGCCTAAGCTGTTCGCATTAGCAAATCGAACAAATTGCTGAAAAACGAGAGAGAAAAAAAACAGCATACTTAGCACGCGCATTTATCTTGATTTGAAATCCATGTGACTATATCATTATTTGTGGGCTTATAATTTGTTTTCCTAACTGGAGTTTGTCAGCTTCTATATGGTCCTATATTTTTTCGATTCTTTATTGATACAGTGGTAACTCCGAGCTTAGTAAAAGTATGATCATTATTTGGAAATAATATAGTTCCCTATAATAAGTAAACAACTTTTTGTTTTCGTATTATTTTTAAAACAAATTCTCAGGGTAAACATTTTTTTGTTGATTTTAGACCAACATTTTTAGATGGTCTGGTGTACCTTTAAATTTTCATTAAATATTAAAGCAGCGGACCTTTTTGAACTAAATCTTACCTTAAAAATATTTATGATCGGTTTATTATTTTGCAAAAAGTAAACTTATGGCTTTTCCTAAGTAAAGGAAAAGGAATATCATTTTATTCCCTGGTTCAATTATAATTTCCTCATATCCCAAAATTTCACCTATTTCACCTAGGAAAAAGCTTTCATGTCTTATTGCACTTACATTTTCTGGAAAATTCTGTCGTCCGAAGGTTTGTTTTTGTTCCAACGCCCACTGTATGAGGAATATGAGAATATGTTTGTCAAATGCTAATTAGTTTCATTATATCTGGCGGTCACGAGTGGAGTGGGGCTTGTGGGGAGTTTTAGGGGCCGTGAAGTGTATTAATTGGATGAGCCGAAACAGTTTGATAAGCACAATATTGCTTGCCACAGATCTAATCGGACATATGGTAGCAATCACGTCCGCCCGTCTCCCTGTTTATCAAGCCACCCCCACCCCAGAAAAGAAAATAAACAAAAAAATACCACTGTCCTGCGTACCGCCAATGGATGTCAAACTGAACAGACACTTTGATGGACATATTATAGACAGTTTGGCTACTCGGGAGCGTATGAATTGCTAAATATAAACAATCCTAGGTATAACTGCGCCCTCCCACTTTTCCAACCCCCATCCCCATCCCCACATTAAAGGCAAATTAGGCAAACCAGACAAGGAGGGTTGACAGATCCAAAAATAATCAAAGCAGCAAAGATTTGGCAGGCATTCTGCGTTTACCTGGTTGGACTTTGGATGATGAGTGTGCCGGGAATTGGGAGGGGGACTCGGATTGTGGTCCAAATGGGTCTCGTGTGGCACGTGTCCAGGTGGCTTTAAAACTGTGGCACACTTATTTATAGGATCACAAAGATTGTGGTATTCTCAAACGGAATAAAGAAAACATAAGAGTTATTTACCTGTTTCTTTGTAACCTTAAAATGTTTCTAATCTTGAATATCAGGGGTTTCTTGTGGACTACTGTATAATATATTTATTTTTAACATTGGTTTGGTTTTTTTTCAAATATATATCTTTAATTCTGATTTTTAATTTTTGGATATTAATAATTGAACAATAATTATTATTTATTATTATTATTATTTTTTTTAATTTTTGGAACTTGAATATTTTTGATATTTCTATGGTTTATATACAACATTATATTTTGTTTATCATTTATTTTGGTTTCTTATTATGGTTCACATACAGTAAATCGTTTATTTTTACATTTAATTTACGGAACCGCCTCCATCTCAATAATTTCACCTTCCTTTGATATGCGTAATGAAAATGTTTAAAATCCTACACATTTAAAAAATTCGTTTATTTGTCTAATTTTATTTTTGAGTTCCTTTTCCCGCTTCCGCTGCCTGTCTTTGTCATTTCCCGAACAACAGAATGAAAAACTAAATCTCGGCATGATATTTTCATGAAAAATGCGCTACTTGTTTGTTATTGTTTTCGTTTTGTTGCTGTTGCTGTTTCTGTTGCGATTCGGGGAAAAGAAAAGCTGGCGCTTGTCTCTGCACCCATTCACATGCCACATACTTTTAATAGACCTTTCATTTCAATTCATTTGTTTATTTTCGTATGTGTTCTGCTAGTTTATTTTTAACCTTCAGTGACACCTATGGGTGAACAGTGAAAATGGGTTATAATAATTATGTGATTATGGGTTATTATACATGATGTCACTTTACAAAAACAAGAGTTTTAAACTTGGAAAAATTCTACACTTTGATGTTACTATACAAATTATATACTTTGAGTTCCAATTTAAAGAAAACAACATATGAATGTTTATTTATTTTAATTTTATATGTAGTTAACGGGACGTATACTTGATATTTTTAAAAAGACCTTTCTCAATCCTAGGATTTTTAGTAAAACCATTATGATATCATCAGATTTATCATTTTTCTTAAAGCTTGTAAGTGATTTTATGTAATGATC